TGTCATAATTTTGCAAGTAAGTGGAAAGAAAGATTTCACATAAGGATTTTCAAATTGCGACAGATTGTGACATTAAATAACAGATGATACCTAGTAGATTGAGCACGACAGTAATTTTATCTGTGTGTATTATCTCCCCAAGATAAGAAATTGAAAAAAAGTTGAACTACCAACTCATTCGAGTGGGACGTTACAATAACTAGTAACCTTTTTTAGATTACAATAATTTTGCTAGCGGTTTCAATAATATTTTTAATAAGTTTGGTGCGTTACAGTACCAGCACGCTATGATGGCCTTTTGACAGATTGCAATAGTGAGGTAAAATCTCAATTCATTATAGAAAAAAATATAATCAAATGCGAGTCGCATCTATAAGTTTTTAGATTTATAACTAGTATTACAAGGGATAGTTAAAAAGTTTTAATAAAACGAAAATTAAAATGTTTTCTTAATATATCGTCAATTTGAAAAATGTTTTGCATTGAGCTTTGACGCGAGTTTGCCGGAGGTAGAGGTTGTTTTGGCCAGCGATCCCAGAAGCGACGATCGTATTACATTACATTTTAAAAATTTCGAATTTAGAAAAACAAATGCAGATTTGTCGTAAAATTATACATTCCATAAATTTTACTGCACGTCACTATTGACAATAATGTACAGCAAATAGCTCCTTCAACGTAGTTATGAATTAATACGAAACTTGATATGCGCACAAACGTCAAAACGGCCATCAAAGCGAGATGGTACTTTTAACTATGTAATAATATATTCGTGGTTATTGGATAATAAAATTCGTCGCGTTTTTTAAATGCAGAGAAATATACCTACTGATTACGTATAATACGTGTACTGACTGATAACGAGATGAGAATTATACAATATTGCAAGGTCGGTTCTGTTACTATTACGAAGCATTACAGAGTGTGGCTCTAATAGATTGTTGCTATGAGCTGTAAATTCCTGAATGTACAGCAAACCTCACGAGTTCTTGGCGCAGCGACAGGCGAGTGAAATGAGGCTAGACTACTTACGTCTGCAGTACAATCGATTTCCACAGCGAAACCGTACCATTTAGTTCATGGTCGTTCTGGAAGTTAGTTCTGTACAGGTATTATGAGATAGGTCTACTAAAAAGTCGGATAAATACCTATTTGCATAGTGGAATGAGGCTATATTTGAAAAGGTACCTGTATTATTATAAAGAGTGAAAAGAATGAAACGGTACCAGAGTAAGGTAAATGTATATACTTCTCAAAACCAACCGTCTCAAATCCTAAGCGAAATAGAAGTCGATGGTACGACCAATCATCTGATTCTTATAGAAAATGATGGAACACTTATTTCAGGTTTGTGTGAAGTGTAAAATTTTTCGATGTTCGACCTTCAACCATGTACCGATGGTCATGATCAAGTATACTAGTGGGTAGGTGTGTTCAATAATGGATGGTTAACAAAGCATCTTTAATCTGATTACAAATTGTGTTGGAATTTCCTATTTCGCTAATTCAACCTTCGTGCGATAGACGTTTGGTATAGTTATGTATGCATCATATAATAGGTCCGTAGCAGCTTCATTCTTTATGTAAATAGACACATAAGTTTTATAACATATGTACCCGTGTGAGTATGTCTGACGCATTGATTTCATTGTGAGTTTGACTAGGTTGTACATAGTCGATTGTTATGTTAATTTGTATATACAATTGCTACAATATTAGTTCGTCTATTACGCACAATTAATTATATTATTAATACAAATGTACGAGTGCACACGCACAGGCAAAGTAATGATGTGGAATTGTTACTAGGTAATGACATATTACTATGTTCTACAAAGGCATAATGTATTTCGCAACAATGTCAGTGTAAATAAAAACGCTACGTGTTAAAATCTTACACTTTACACTATAACTTTCCATGTTTTATGTGTCTATTCTCTACAGTTAAAGGTTTTAGGGAACTAAGCACTAAAAGAAACTAGTAAATTACTCAAAATTAAGTTTATTAAATAACAACATTAACTTACTGAGATTCCCATTCACGTCCAGCCCTAATAAACTATATGTACAGAGCGGGCTGCTTATTCTATATGTACAGCACGTGCGGGGTCAGGCTTCGATCACAGGATTTGGTAGAGGCGTGTCCTAGACCGGCGCGCCGACTTCTTCTTGGTACGACCTCGTGAGATGCGCCGCGGTGGCAGTCAATTGCCGAAGAGAGCGACGTAGCCCGCATAGGTGTCGGCGACACGCAGCTGCGGCCCTCGCTGCTGATTCTCGCTCGTCTTCTCCTTCGATACCCGAATCTCCCGCTGCGCTTGAAGCATCGCTCTCCGTGTCGCTGATGTCAGAGATTCTCCTTCCTCTCTCTACATGCTCCTCACTGTCCCCAGCAGACCAGAGCAACTCAGTCTTCAGGTCATTTAGCATAGCGAACAAGCTGAATGGATCATCGTCCCCTTCTTGCGGCAGGTTCATGAGACGGCTGGGAATGAGGACAGTCTCATCCATGACGTTCACCATTTTGACGAATTTTTCCATGTCATTAAGGATGCTCTGCTTGGAGAATTCGGCATCGTCATGCCTTGCGATTCTCCTGAGAGTATTCCTATAACAAAGGAGAGATAAGGTAAAAACATTGGCCAAAATAAGGTGGAGTTGTCACAGTTACCTACTCCTAATATGAATTGGGACCCAAAACACAAGATTTTGTTATAGCCTACTCTTTTACCAGAAATATTTAGTACTTCATTGAAATTGACCCCTGTCCAGTTGTGACATTTAAATCTATACATATATTTATTTATTATTTAAAAATAAACCGTATGCATGATTTCACATTATAACAATATCTTTTAATTGGGTAGGTTTCATTAAAATACACACACACATATATATATATGTGTGTGTGTGTGTGTGTGTGTGCGTGTGTATATATATATATATATATATATATACACACACACACACACACACAGACATATACATACTATTAACACAAGCTTTATTATCTTTTGAAAATAATTTTACGTACCGCTTGGTTTAATTTGAATTTATAACTGACATAAAAACATGCAATGACTAACCAGCAGTACCTATTCAATGGAGAATTTACATTCCAGAATGTTATTAGTAGTTGCAGCAAATTCCAGCATGCTTATTGATGTGAACGATGTGTATTAGGTATTTTAAAGGTAACATCGAAATTGTACCTATAAGACGTTTTTTTCTAATGGGTACATAGATTCATGCAAGCCTTCAGAATTGGAAAAAATATGACATCGAGTTCTTAGGTTTTCGCGATTGTTACACATAGGAAATGAAACTATTTTTCCGGATTTAAATCGCGTATACCTATTTGTTTTTTTTCAAACAAATCCAATTGGAAAAACAAATATACGCGAAAAATAGTTTCATTTCCTAAATATATGACATCTTTTAAATTTAAACAAATATACACTTCAAGTTAATGTTACTGCACAAATTATCCACAAATAATACGGCTACAAATTTTACAATTACATACTGCATTTAATAAACTCGATTTTTGACGATGATGGACAATTTTTATTTAAAAAATCTTATCGAGTGTTTGATCTAACGTATCAAATTTATTATTCAAGGCCAACTTAATGAATTTGTAGGTTTTTTAGTCGGACAACGGCTACATGTTCCGCGCATGCGCAGTGGCTTTCTGGAAATCCCGGATAACCTCTTTGTCGCAGTCAGCGTTCCATAATCACTAATCATTCCCAAAATGCACAACTACACACAAAATCTACATAAATTCACATAGATATCCGCCAAATGGGGTTTATTTAAGAATCGACGCTGTCACGACATGTGAAAGGCATCCAAGATTTCGTCACTCAGTGTATTAACCATTCCCCAAGGCGGTTTGGTTACAAGCTGCTGTCCTCAAAGCACAAGTATCACAACGCCCCAATATTAGATTCCCTGGAATGCACCACGCACAGCTTCAAATCACAAGAGACACGTGCAGGGGTCGAGCAAATGGCTAATCCTAAAAGGACTCTCCGTACCTGCGGTTTTCCAGTTTCGTCGATAAATCTGTGTTGAACGCCATTTTCTTGTGTTATTTAATTTTAAATATCACTGAACACACACGCCCTAATTTTGGTTGATCTCACTACAAAATAGTCGTTTATACCGCTTACGAAACAACGCGTACTGACAAACGAACACGACGATTATACACCACGGAGATTTGACGTTTGGCTAGAAGGTGGGGAGAGCACTCGTTTTTATACGACGCAATCATACGATACGGGGGGAAGCGAACTTTGAATAATATCAGTTTGTTATGGAATGTTTAGTTAATGATGTTATATTGGTTGATTCTTAATGTAATTAATTAAATTAAAATCTTTACTGTATTTATACCTACAAACATAAAATGTTTCCGCTATAATTTTCGATATTTTAGGCAATGTCTTTCACCACCTACCAAAGTCACACCACATGCTGCCACCATGATTGGTTGTCTTGCGCGATGCTCTTTCCTCATTGGTTAAACAAAAATATTTTTGCGCGGGAGTTTTTAAAATTGTTAAGTAGCGATGCTTTTTTGATAAGTAAAACCTACTTATCAAAAAAGCATCTAGATTATTCTAGATTATATAGATCTAGATTATTTTCAAAAGAAAAATTTAAAGTTTTGCAATGATTGTATCAATGAATCTGTCAATGATTTTGTAACTAAACAACTTTATTTTTTAAACTGAATTTATTGGGTTGAACGATTTGTTCATTTACCACATAATCAACGTAAACTTTTACAGGTTGACAGCCCCGATAAGTGCATTAGTGCATTCTAGACGAATGGGATTTTGTTGGTGTTCATTTTAAGTTGATAAAATTTAAAAAGCTTTTGTTGATAACTTGCTTAATTTGAATTTAGAATCTGAACAAGCTGTATACATTAATTATAAAACGTTGCAACTAAATTATGCTTTCTTCGTGTAAATAAGGTGAAAGGTCTTATGGCAAACGATTTTCATTGTATGTAAACGATTGTCCCGATTTACACGAACTTTTTCATGAAAGTGTCGATCAACAGGTAAAGGTACCTTATGTTGATCAACTTGTTCTTATCCTGCATAGTCAAAAGCACATCAAACTTAACTCTTTGGACTTTGAATTGTTGTTATAGTAAGCGGCAAATAATTGAATGTAAAACTTGATTATCGGGCTTGACATCTCCGGCCTGAACCTAATCTAAAATGCATGTAATTGAACCTTGTATGTACCTTTTCCGTTCGGATTGACACAAATGCTTTGTAATTATTTACAATCACATGCCTGCCTAAGTGTATTCAATTAGGTGGGAATATACAATGGGATTTGCGTCAAAGTAAATTACGTAGAATAAACATAATAATTAAAAATTTAAATGTAATGGTATATTGGTAGGTAATTTATAGCTGCATGTACCAATTGTACCATTAAACAAAATTGTTTTCTTAATATTTTTGTTTATTTAGGTAGATTTTTTTCATTCATTGGAGGTAAGTAGAGTAAGTAAGGTATTATAGTAATAAATTTATCACTGTCGTTTAGATATGGATGACATATTACTTACACCTGTATTGATGACAGATGACAGATTTCACATTTACCCACAATAAGTGCCCACATTTCTATGCAATAGTACGTCGGGGTTTAAATAGCAAAATTTGTCCAAATATTTTACCTCAAGAACCCATCAGTTAATTTTGGAGGGAACGACTTAAGTACACTATACTTAGGTCTAGTAATTTTAATTGCCGCGTAAGGAAAAAGGATGTGGTATGGCATTTTTAATCTTAATGACTTACGTAAAAGGGTTTACCGCAAGCTATAATTTCTCGTAAATTCTGGAATCAATTATCTATACCTAATTAACTAAATGCGCATTTGCACTAAATGATCAAAACCATAATCAAGTTGTCGTTCGTGGAAAGTACGCGAAATGTAATTTCTGACAAGGGTTTTTAGGGCAGTCTCGCTGCATTTCCGCGTACCGAAGAAAAATATTGAAACCCGAAGCGGTCTCGACAATCTCGGGACTACAAGACTTCCGCGACTATTTTCTAAAGTAGGTTTCCATACTTATTGGCTAGAGATTAGGCAGTCTAAACACGATATTTTAATCAAGTTCTTTAGTATTTCAAACTATAAAATAAAAAAATAACCGTTTTTTTTTTCATTTGTACAAGGGGCACGAAAGAAGCAAAGGTTGTTTGATACATAAAATTTACAGTTTCAGATAGACTTGATTTTATTACTATTGTTCTCAGATGTGAAAATCCTATTTAGCTCGTAGTAAAATAATTGACATCTGCATTAGTGTGGCTGTTGGTTGCACCAATGACGCACAACGTACAATATGGGAACATTTTATTGCAATGTTTATTTTGTAGAAACGTGAACTGTTTCATCATTATGTTTTTCATTGAAAATCGACAAATATAACTTTGCAATCGAGAAGGCTCGTCACTATTCATCAATTTATATATTTGCCCCTTCCCGTACCCCCATCCTCACGTCTCATCCTAATGTAGACCAACATTAGACTGCAAAGCTGAGTGTGTATGGCTTATTATTGAGTTGAGGGTCATGTTATCGGGTTGCGTTGCTAAGACAATCACGTTTTGAAAGCTTGGAGACACGCCCACGTTTATTTATACGTTTTAATCTTATTACTGATTGCCTTATTTATTGATAATAAATGGTGAGATTATATTTATTGTATATATTTGTTATCGGTTGCTAATAGCACTGCACATGTTTGTTATATCTCACTATTTTACTATTATACTTATTGGAATCTTTATGACTTAGAAATAGTGCTTAACCAAAGGAAGATACTTTTTAGCAGCAGTGGAGCTAGTTGTGTAAGAGTTCGTCCAGGGAAGTACTGCCATCTTACCTATTTCTACCGCCAAGCAGTAATGTTAGCATTACTGCGTTCCAGTTTTGAAGGGTAAAGGCGCTGGTGAAATTACAGGCACATGGGACTCGTGAACTTATGTCTCGCGGTGAAGGGCGCAGTGGCAGTGCCCCTCAGATCTTTGCGATTTAAAGCTCTGGCACTGCAACTGTTATGGACAGGCGTGTAGCTTACCATCAGGCGCACGACTCGTTCGTCCCTGTCACGTGAAATTATAGAAAAAAAATCTTATTCTAAGCATCAAATAGTGAGACGGTTCTCTTGATGGAAAGTCTTGAACGTCGCCGTTGCTTGTATAGATATATTAAAAACAGTGCTGTTTTGCGGCAAAAATAAACAGCGAAGAAACCCTACCACTAGTTACTTAATTAACTATTATATTTTGTTACTTTTAATCTAACACGATATTGAATGTGGTTGATGAAATGATATGTTAACGTTCGTTATATAAAATTTTTAGTCATGCCTTCAGTTATTTGCCTATATAATTCGAAATATTCAAAATAGCCATATTAGTATTTTTGTAGTGTAGAACCTAGTAGTAGTGCCTGGTAGTGTAGTGTACACATTGATAATTGGTTTGCGTATCAGATATTTATTCGTGAATAATTAGTTTACGTAAATATACACATGCTGTTGATGTTCGCTAAGTGAATAAATAAATAAATAAGTCATACATTTTGAAAAAAAGGACAGACAGACGTATATTTCACGAGTTAATTGTTGTAGTATTTATCTAATTAGATATTATCGTTTCAGTCCAATGTTTATATACGGTCCTAAGATTGAATCCTGAGTGTAGGGAGGGTTTCAAGGCACGAGACGCAAAACCAACTTTGCTGCCGAGCGAAACACACAACTGCACCTCCCTATAGTGAGGAAATGGTAGATGTAAGAAAAACAGTCGAACTATAACAAATTAGTTTTAATAAACAAAATTAGTTATCAATTTAATGTCAACTATAATAATAGTAAAATATACCAACGGATTAATAATGTATAACATACGTAATATATGACAATCCATATAGAGGTGGAATTAAAAAAAAAAAGAATCCTCTAAATCGGTTCACAATGTCGAAGTAATCGCGTTATTATACACACAAAAAATACTTTGACTTGAGAACCTCCTCCTTTTTTCAAGGCGGTTAAAAAGAACGCGACAAATCACAAAGTCCAATTACTTTAACACTTATGTTATGTTAATTGGTAATGATAACCCTAAAATGATTAAACGTAATACAAAAGACGAAAATCCTGAACATTGATCTAGGTGACTCGCATATTGTTATATAATCTTCTTTACTTATGCACGTGACCTATATATACAATGTTTGGTGTAATTAATTATTCTTATAAAGTATGTTAAAAAATCTTATTTATTCAACTCAATTTTGAACTTTGTGTGTAACCTATTCTTAGATCTAAATTTCAGTTTAAACAGTTGTTGTTGAAATTTTTGTTGCCCATTTCATCATTATACTTAACCTTATTTGCGTATAAAACGACGCACTTGAAGTCGTATGATATGTGGGTTGTATGTGGTTGATCTATTTGTGAAATTTAAAAATAATTAGGTATTGAATTTATATAATTATGTTCCATTATTATTTATCATCCCATTGCGATAGAATTCTCGTGAGCTGTTGCGCCCAACAAAAAGTTTCTGAAGGATTAGATCCTGCTGTTGCGCACGGGTCTCCTCTAAGAAGAGGGTTAAGACCGTAACACACACATACGTACAAAAAATTGTGAAGTACTTATTAGATCCGGTTGATGTGCTTTACAAGTTTACTTTTATGCTTATTTGATACAGTTTAGTCAAAGTAGAGCTGCTTGTGAAAGAGTTCTTACAGGGAAGCAGTGACATCTTACGTATTTCTGCCGCCAAGGAGTAATGGGAGCATTACAGCGTTTCGGTTTTGAAGGGTACGGGAGCTGGTGAAGTTACAGGCACATGGGACTTTTCAAACTATGTCTGAACTAGATACCTATCGGGTGATGGGCGCAGTGGCAATGCCCCTCAAATCTTTGCGATTTAAACTATGGACAGGCGTGTTTCGCTTACCAACAGGCGCACAACTTGTTCATCCCATCACTTAGTATTATAAGAATAATACAGTACTACTCACTTTGTTATATTTTTAACATACTCCAAAAAAGGAGGAGGTTCCCGATTCGAGTGTTTTTTTTCTACCTCAGTAGCTCAGTTGCGGTCCCATTCAAATTCGTAGATATTTCACCTTAAAGTGTGGCAAATTAATCTGGTTTATTGGTTATCTCACACTTTTTCGCCAACTAATTT